GACAGGCCCACAGCAAAGAATTATTTGGCCAAAACATCAATAGTACCATGAAACTTTGCAAACCACTTTTGACATGTTTAATCAGTCACAGCACCTTCTCTATATACAGCACAAATCTTTTTGTGTGTGTTCTGACATTTCAGTTGCATTTTTACCTTTCTTGAACTAATAAAACATAATAAACTGAAAATATTGTGTATCTTCTCCCATCTTTAATGCTAAAATGGCTGCACAAAAATTCACCAATTTTTATTAAGTTTTTAAAATGCATGCTGGTATGACAGCTGACACAATACACTCTAACAAAATTGTTCCAAGTGAAGTTAAAAATAATTAAACATTAATAGTGGCATTACACAAAAAAACTAAACAAGCTTTTAGGCCAACCCAATATTTCAAAAAATTCGAGAGGACAGAAAACACCCAAGCTCATTTTATGAGGCCAACATTATCCTAATTCCAAAACCAGATGAAAACACTACCAAAAAAAGAAAATTATAGTCCAACATCCATAATGAACACAAATGTTAAAATCCTCAACAAAATATTACCAAACTGAATACAGCAATACATCAAAAAGATCACACACCACAATCAAGTGGGATTTATTCTGGGAATGCAAGGTTGCTACAACATTCACAAATCAATAAATGTGAATACAACATAATGTTTATATATGTTTATATATAACAGAAACAAAATGAAGGATGAAAACCACATGATCATACCAATGATGCATAAAAAGAATTTGATAAAATCCATCACTCAACTCCAGTAAAAACTCTCAGCAAAGTGTGAATGGAGGGAACATACCCAAATATAATAAATGCCATATATGATAAATCCACTGTCAGCATCATACTCAAGAGGCAAAAACTACAATAATTCCCCCTTAAGACTGGGAACAAGACAGGGATGTTCAATTTCACCTCTCTTATTCAGCAAAGTATTGGAAGTCCTAGCCATGACAATCAAACAAGAAGAAATAAAAGGTATCCAAATTGGAAAGAAAGAATGAAAACTGTCCTTATTTGCATATGACATGATACTGTACATAGAAAACCCTAAAGATTACACCAAGACACTACTAGAAAATGAATGCAGTAAAGTAGCAGGATACAAAATTGATATTTAAAATAAGTTGTATTTTTATATGCCAGTAATGAACTATTAGAAAGGGAAATTAAGAAAACAATCCCATTCACAATTGCTTCAAAAAGAATAAAACACCTAGGAATAAATCTAACCAAGGATGTAAAAGACATGTACTCAGAAAATTGTAAGACACTGAAGAAAGAAATTGATGAAGGTACAAATAAGCCAAAGCACATACCATGTTCATGGATAGGAAGAATTAACATCTTTAAAATGTCCATGCTACCCAAAGCAATCTATAGATTCAATGCAATTTCTATCAAGATACTAATGACATATTTCAGAGAACTACAACAAATATTTCAAAAATTTACCTTCATATATGGAAGCACATAGCAACAGCAATCCTGAGAAAGAAGAACAAAGTTGGAGGAATCACACTACCTAATATGAAACTACACTATAAGGCCATAATAATCAAAACAGCATGGTACTGGTAAGGAAACAGACATATAGATCAATGGAACAGAATAAAGAGACCAGAAACAAACTCAAACTTTTTTGGTCAATTAATATACAACAGAAGAAGCAAGCACATACAATGGGCTAAATATAGTTTATTCAATAAATGGTGCTGAGAAAATTGGGCAGATACATGCAGAAGAATGAAATTAGACTACCTTCTTACACCACACACAGACAGATATTCAAAGTGAATCAAAGTCTTAAATGTTAGACCTGAAACCATAAAAATCCTAAAAGAAAACCTAGGCAGTAAAATCTCAGACCTTGCTTGTAGCAATATTTTCTCAGATATATCCCCTCATGCAAGGGAAACAACAAAATATAATGACAACCCATTGGATGGAGAGCATACTTGCTGATAAATCTGATAAAGAGTTAATATCCAAATTTTATAAGGAACTTATAAACTCAACACCAAAAAAATAAAATCCAATTGAAAAATTGACAAAGGAAGGACTTGAATAGACACTTCTTCAAAGAGGACATACAGATGGCCAATAGACATACAAAAAATGCTCAAAGTCACTAATCATCAGAGAAATGCTAATTAAAACTACAATGAGATATCACATCACACCTGTCAGAATGGCCATCATCAATAAATCACCAAACACCAAGTGCTGGCAAGGATGTGAAGAAAGGGGAACCCTTTTGCACTGTTGGGGGGAATGCATCTTAGTGCAGCCACTGTGGAAAGCAGTACAGAGATACCTCAAAAAATTAAAAATAGAACTGCTTTTTGACCTAGTGATCTTGCTTCTGGGAATATATCTGAAGGAACCTGAACACTAGTTCAGAAGAACATAAGCATCCCTATGTTCATTGCAGCACTATTTATAATCACCAAGATACTGAAACAGCCTAAGTGTCCATCAGTACATGAGTGGATAAAGCAATTAGGGGACATTTACACAATCAAATACTACTCAGCCATAAAAAAGAAAATTTTATCCTTTGCAACAGCATGGAGAACATTATGCTAAGTGAAATAAGCCATTCAGAGAAAACAAATACCATATCATTTCATTCATTTGTGGAATCTAATGAACAAACTGAACTAACAAGTAAAACAGAGACAGACTAATAGATGAAGAGTTGGCTGACAGCTGTGGGCAGAGGGAGTTAGGGGGTAAAGATACCAAGCAAAAAGGAAAAAGGACTCATGGACATGGACAACGTGTGGGAGGAGATATAAGGAGGATAAATGGTGTTGGAAAAATACAATAAAAAAGAAAAATAAATATTTTATAATTTCACATTTCAAAAAATAGAAAACCCCAGAAAATGTTCACTAGATGGGACTAGAATGATTTCTTTACCACATAAAATTTTTTTTGCAAAGTTTTACATTGAGCGCAATAGTTAAACAACCTATCTCTGTGGAAACAAGTTGAGTACAAATTGAGGAGGGGCTACTGCCTTTGTAAGAGAAAGGCAAAAGAGAAAGGTGGAGAACTTTAGATATTCCTTGGCCCTCTCATGGTCCCCTTGGTGCTGTGTAGGCAGAGAGGCCTGGAGGGAACAACCGCTTCTGTTTTATTTCTGTTGTATCCCTAGAGGCTGGCAAATAGCAGAAACTCACTAAATATCTGAGAAAGAAAGGCAGGCCCTCATTATCTCATTTAAATGTCCTAGAAACCTGTGAGAGATATCACAATACAATTTTGTCTTCTTGCCAGGTGACAAACCCTTCAAATGGTGGAACTGGTTTTATTTTTGTTTCTGTAATCCCAATAAGCCTTTCTGAGTGCAAAAAAGTGCTTAAAGAAAGTTGAATAAATTATGATCCTGATATAGATCATAAAGCTGTCCACATCCATACTGCGAAACTGGCAGATCTTGAATGAAGGCTCAGTGAGTTGAGCTCTGAGCTGGGTGCTTTTTTGACAGAGTAAGGTGCATATGGCAAGTCCCGGGTCCACTGGTACTCTGGGACCACTGGTCTATGCGGGTATTCAGAGATCTGCAGAGCCCTACACCTCCTGCTGGCCAAGGGTCATTGCTAATCAGGACTCAGCAAGCTCTACCAGCTCAGGTGACTTCCCTGATGGTCGGATAAGGAGCCAGGGCCCTTACATGTAGTATTTAGATGAGCAGAAAAGAAATGAAGGGCATTCCCAGCAGGGACACTCCTTAATTAAGTGCATCAAGAAGAAAGAAACTGAAGTTAGTGGCTGGTACACATGACTATCCTTGTAAGCCTGTGAGTTACCCCTAGAAACCTGGCTCTCTGTCCAGAACCCAGTAGCTAACTTACATGTTTATCAAATGGACAGTTGATAAATGGATGGATGAATGCACAGATAGAGGGGTGAATAGAAGGATGAATGAATGGATAGATGGATGTTTGTTAATGGCAGAACAGAAGTTAATAGAAGTTAAAGGGCTTTAAAAATAGGCCATGGTTTAAATCCTGAGTCTGCCCTTGTCTATAGTGTGAATTGAGCTTATGATGACACATCTCTGAGGCATGGTTTCTCTGAGAGGACTCTGAAAATTGTGATGACAAAATAATGCATGTAAAGGGACAAGCTCAATGTCTGGCACATAGTAAGTGCTCAAGAAACAGGAGTTGTTATTATTCTCATTGACCAGAAAGGAAAAAGGAAAAAGATACAATGAGGACTACAGTTGATTATCTTGCTACCATTTCCCTTCCTTCCTAGAAACTGAATCCTGATTTCCTTTTGGAATTCATGTGGTTTAAGTAGCTCAAGCCAATCAGTGTATTCCATTCCCTCAGACCGCTGTGACTGGCTCAAGGATGTGTATGAGGTTTATGCTGGTCCAATCAGAAGGAACCATAGAATATTTGCTGGGAATGCTTGAAAACAGCCTCTTTCTCTCATTAGATGTTAACAAGGAAACCAGTGGCCCAGAAGCTGCTGGCAGGTACAGTGGGAGCACTAGCAGAATGCAAGTAGAAAAATAGAAAGATACGTTGTTGAGCTACTGAATTTAGTCTTGCCTGAAGTTAATGATCCCTGGGTTTTTTAGTTATATGAGCCAATTTATTTTATGTTTAAGGTTTATATAAGCCAGACTTTATGATACCTACAGTCAAAATCACCCTAACTGATACAGAAAGAATGCAAAAATGATGACATGTAAATGGAATGTCTAAAGAAGATGAGGCAACAAGTGTTGGGTGGTATCAAATTATAAAAGGCTTTGGATGTCAGAAATTGGGGCTAAATTTTAGCTATTATTTCCCATTTGACAGATAAGTAAATTTAATCCTGATGGTTAAACAGCAAGTAACTTATCTAAGATAACACAAGTTAACTAACTTTAAATGTGGAGGTGGAACTAGAAACCAGATTCCTCTGACTCAGTGCCCTTTCCATACCACTCAGCAGTATACCCCCAGACAAACATACCCCATCCAAGGGCAACACATCTCTGGAGGCACTTCCTTTCTGAGAAGAAGGAGATGATGAGCAGCGTGTGAAGGTAGAGGCCTTCCACCAGCAGCCAGGCATAGTTGGCCATGATGCAGTACTGGAAGAAGACCATGACCAGCTTACAGCCCACCTGGACAAAGAGAGACATGTGAGTCCCAGGACGGTCCACTGGGGACTTCCCTCTGGAGGCCAGCCTCAAAGAAAGTGACAAGGCATTGGTAGGGGTCAGGGGCCAAGCCAGAGAGTGAGCCTCTGGACTTCATGGCCATCCCCTGAGGCCTTCCACTTTCAGAAGACTAGGCCCACAGAGTTCTCCAGAAAGTGAACTCTGAGTCCAGCAGGCTCAGTCAAGATGGCATTGCAGAAGCAGAAACTGCATTCAAATTCTGGAATTGGCTGCCAACTGTAAAATTGTGTCAGATATTGCTCAACTCCCAACTCCCTCCTTTTTCAGATGAGGCAACTGAGGTCTAGAAAGGAAAAGGCATATCTGAGCAAAGGGTTAAAATCCTTTCCAAGTTCAGTTTCCCTGGAAACAGATGAAGAATGGACATACCAACTATGTTAGGAGGCAATGTTGATTATATGATAGTAAAAATGGCTCTTGACTGGTAGACTGCATCTGGACTGGAGACTTCTAATACCTGATGAGGATGCAGTGACTATTATAACAAACATGTCACTTGTACAGATCCCAGGAAACTGTCTGTGGGATGGTGGGGCTTCTATTCCAGCATGGCTCCTATACTCACCCCATGAGGATCCCCTTTCCTCTTATTAAATGTCCCTAGGGGAGAGGACAGCTCCTACAGTGGTCTGAGGGCTGCTGCAAGGTCACATCCACAAAGGAGTCCCCACTGCTGCCCTATTGGCCATCTGTGGTTCCCACCCTTGGGCATCCAAGAGACTCTGATTCCAAGTGTGGTCCATGGTTAGTTCAAAGGTCTGATGTTAATAGAATCCCTGCTGGGCACTGCTAGAACTTTCCACAACTGGTCAGTGATGGGGTAGGGCCTGAATTTAAGTCTCCTGATCCCTAGTCTGATACTGTTATTTCATCTAGAGAGCTCTCCTTGACAGCTATATAAGGAATTACACAGGTGAGTGGTGAAAAGTGGCAGAAAGGTGACTGAACCAATCTCAATTTCCAATCCCCTTCTCCCTCACTTGCCTCTGCTTTAGAGACTGTAAAAGTAAAAAACTCAGTCTCACAGGTTCCTTGGCAGTTAAGTATGGCCGCATGACTCAGTTCTAAGCCATAAGAGGTAGGTAAAGGTTTTGGGGAAGGTGTTCTTTCCCAAATGAAAAATCAAAGTAAAAAGAAAAAGTTAAGTGGTAGAAAAATGGAAAGTAAAAAACAAAAAATCAAAGTCAAAGTGAATTTAACTCCTTGTCTAGAGCGTGGATGCGGGGCCTGGGGCTATAGGAGCCATATCGCAAACATGTGGTATAAAGCGTGGGGTCAAGAATGGCAGAGCAGAAAGAGGGAAAAGGACTATGCCCTACATGGCATCATGGAGCCTCTGCACCACCTCTGGACTGCCCATCTACAGACTGCTTTTATAGAAAACAACTCCCATCCGTTTAAGCCACCGATGTACAGTTTTCTGTGATGTGCACCAAAAGGGATTCCCAACTGACACACGGTGATATTGCAAGGAATTAAAACTCATCTGAGCATTCAGAATGAGAAAGAGGGTTAGATTTAACAAAACATGATTGTTTTACTTCAGGCCTGTGTGTGCAGGCATACAAGTATATACTCACCCTTTTCTCTGTACAACCAACCCATCCTTCTCTAGACTTGGCCATTTGTCTATAGCTGGGACTTGGCAAGAGTAAGGAAAAGAGGATCTTTGCTATAAATCAAAATCTCAGAGTGGTTAATCCACTCTTGGACACTGGGAGTTGAGTGGCAGCCTCTGACTGACTTCTCAACATGTGGATCTCATATGTGATCCAGGCGGTGCATGTGGGGACATGGAACTCTCCCTGAACCTCCCGGCACAGCCCCAGTGCCTCTTTACCCTAGTCATTAAACGCAGCCCCAGCAGGGACTTTAGGGAAGGACACTGGGCTACCACCCTCTTCAAAGTTAGTCTGGGAAACGCAGGCAGGACTAGCCACACCCTGGGGCAGAGGCATGTTACCATGTGGGTATCACAGTGGACACCATCGTCTGAGAAGAGCACAGCATCCTTGATGAAGATGGACAGGGTGCGCAGGATAAAGGACACAAACAGGTGCATGTGGATGTAGTTGCGGGTGCAGTGGAGCCTCCTGGAGGGAGAGAAAGCAGGGCCAGAGCTGGGAGGAAACAGAGAGCAGCCAAGCCCACCCTTCCCTGCAATGCGTAGGGGAAACCCAGGCCCCAGACACCAGCTATTTCTTATGGGAAACCCATTCCAGTTCTGGGCGGGTCTGACTCCCACCTTCCAGACAGACCTGAGACAGACCTCATGACAGACCTCAGCTCTCCAACCCTGGCCACAGAGATTGACTCAGGGTGGGGCATGTGACTTAAGCTGAGCCTATGAGAATTCTCCCAGGACTTTCATTGCAACTAATGGAGAAGAAGCCTTCTTCACCCTGGTGTTGTAAAACTGTTAGAACGTACCAGTGCAGTCGCTGGTGGCCATCTCTGACTCCCCTGCAGAAAGCATATCTGAGGATGAGGCCAGTGTCAACAGAAAAATGGAGGGACACAAACCTAGTTCTGCTGATACTTCTAAGCACACAGATTCAGACATGCCTAAAGCCAGACGCCTAAAGCCAGTTATGTGGGTCAGGTCATCTTTGTTTTTCCTAAGCTGTTTTACAGTGGATTTCTGTTTCTTGCAACCAAGAGTCTGGTTATTACACCTTTAAGATTGGAATAATGATACCTATCTTATGCCATTGTGAGAAAATTAGAAATAACATGTAAATCAACTGGTGCAGTAAGTCCTTAGTAATAATGCTCAGTAAGTATGAGTGAATTCAGGAATGAACAAGGTCACAGAAACTTCACAGAAAGTTCAGTCACAGGAATTTCTGCCACTGATAAACTTTAGATCAAGAGGTGACAGAGGGGCCCACTCAGACCCTCCTCCTTTGGCATAATCAGTTCAAAGAGATGCAAAGTCTGTGCCCAGGAAAGACTGAGGAGATGGAAAGCTGGCAGCAGTTTCTCACCGGAAAGAACAGAGGATGCTGAGAGCAACCAGGAGCATCACCAGGGAGGAGCTGTAGCCCACAGTATACATGACCTTCAACTTCAGCAGGTATGCGTACTGCAGAGAGAGGCATGTGTTATTCCCACTTGCCCACCTGGCTGGCTCTCCACTTTTCTGCCTCAAGTGTACCTATTTTCTGGCCTGCCTGAACCCCTTCAACTCAGCTATGTTGCTTATGTACCAAGGACATCATTCATAGACTCATAACGTCTTGGCTTTGGAGAAGATCTTGAGGATCATCTGATGCCAACTCAAACTTATGTCCCTCTTATGCCACCCTAAATTTAAATGTTTTGCTTAAATACCTCCAGGAATGAGGTGCTCATTGCCTTTAAAGGAAGTTATTCAGTATATGGCAGCACAAATATTAGATTTTTATCCTCATGTGATATTAAAATCTATTACCTTATAAATTGCACTTATTGGTCTGTTCTGTTTCTGGAGTTACTTAAAATAAACTCAATTAGTCTTGTAACTAAGGTTTGTCTTTACTTTTAAAAAATAAACTATTTCGCCCTGGCTGCTGTGGCTCAGTGGATTGAGCACTGGCCTGTGAACCAAAGGTGTGCCAATTCAATTTTCAGTCAGGGCACATGCCTGGGTTGCAGGCCAGGTCCCCAGAAGGGGGCATGAGAGGCAACCACACATTGATGGTTCTCTTTTTCTCCCTCCCTTCCTCTCTGTCTAAAATAGATAAATAAAACCTTTTAAAAAATAAAATAAAATAAACTATTTCATTTTGCAATAGTTTTAGACTTACTGAAAAGTTATGAACATATTACAGAAAGGCCTGTCATTTTTAATATAGCTATTCTGCCAATCTGTCTCACTTATCTTTCAGCATTAAATGTTCCCTGTGTCTTTACTGTCTTTCTATAATCCCTCAACATTTTGCTCAACTAATGTGCTCCAATTTGTCAATGTCCTTCTTAAACAAAATACTCAGAACTGGACAGCTGAACAGCTCCAAATGTATCTTCTAACTAGGAAGATGTAGAGAGGGACCCTCATCTCCCCTGATCTACACACTGCACTCCTGTGAGTGCAACCCAGCAATCGCTTCACACTTTTGGTTCATCTTTGATTAAAAAAGATTTCAATGGAATACAAAAACTTGACACATAGAGAGAAATGTAAAGAACTGCATTTAGGTTCAAAAAATAAATTGTACAACAGTCTTAAAAAATCAAGGAAATGACAATTTAAACAATAATGCTATGCCGTTTTTTTAACCAACCAAAATAACAGATATTTTTAACTACTGTAATAATATTCTGTGCCGGTGAGGGAAAAGTAGGATGAAAATTGGTTCAATCTCTCCAGAAAGCAACAGGAATTAAGAACCTTTGAAATACGCAGTCCTTTTGACCCCCCCTTCTAAATCTAGGAATTAATCAGAAATATAAAAGCATATTTATATATAAATGTGTTTATCACAAAACTATTTGTGATGAAAAACATGTCCAACAACAGAAGAATAGTTAACTAAATTATTTTAAATCCAAATTATTTTCATGTTAGGGCACATTATAATAATGTTTACCATTCAAACTTGAAAGGATGTCAGAACATGCTAAGAATGTAATGTTAAGTAAAAGGCAGAATATAAATTTTACATGTATACTAAGATTCCCACTATAGTACATGTAAAAAAAAGGGTTAGGTTGAATTATATGCAATTGCTTTTTTTGTGGATCAAAAATGATGAAATATGGGCCATTTCATGTAGTTCAGCCTCATACTTGCATAAGAACACGATTATAAGGAGATGTGTTAGATGTTAATACTGGTTAACTTCATACCAGTTAATACTGGTTAACTGGTTAAATTTGTGGATGGTGTTGTTATTTTCACTTGTATTTTCCTTCTTTGAAAAAAGATTTTATTTATTTATTTTTAGAGAAGGAGAAGGGAGGAAGAGAAACATCAATGTGTGGTTGCTTCTCATGAACCCCCAGCTGAGGACCTAGCTTGCAACCCAGGCATGTGCCCTGACTGGGACTCAAACAAGCGACCGGTTGGTTCACAGGTGGGCACTCAGTCCACTGAGCCACCAGCCGTAGCTTCACTTGTATTTTCTACACTTTTGATTTTTCTACAGTGGGTAAGTACTACTTTGTAACCAGAAGAAAAAGGTATTAATTTAAAAACAAAACAGACACAAGAATAATATTGGGGAAACCAGACTTGCTGATAGCTCTTCATATGAAAATGACCTTGAGGTCAGAATGGCCAAAGCTTCATGGCATTAAGGAAGTATACTACACACAAAAAAATACAAGCATCAGAGCCCAGAGACAAGGGTTCCAAACCCATGGCTGTTATTCACCAGCTGTGTGACCTTGGGCAAATTATTTAACTTCTCTGAGCCTTAGATTCCTCATCTGAAAAATTGGGATACTAACTACCTTGAAGGTTGTTTGGAAGAACAAGTAAGGTATCAGGGAGAATATCTAGACAATGGCTGGCACTTTGGGGACACAGGGTGCCTGTGATTTTTCTCCACCTCCACCCTTCACCCCCATCATCCACCCTTCAACATGAGTCAGTGGTGTGAAATTGTGTGAGATTATGGTATGAAATGTGAGGTATAAGGTAGCTGCTAGAAAAACTTAGCCTTCTCTCAGTTACACAGTGGAGTGCTGTGGGGTAGCTGGCCACATTGGAACCTTTGGAGCCTTTGGCCCAGTTCTGGACATGTTATTTTAAGAGGCACATTAATAAACTGGAGCATTTCCAGAGAAGGCTGATCATGTTATCTTAAGAGTACAAGAATAAACTGTATATATCACACCCAGAGGAAAAACCAAACTTAGGGAAGAAGAGTATTATTAGGTCGACTGACATGTAGAAGTAGAGTTAAGACCTAGTGTGTGAGCTCCAGTGGGAGGAGGTTACCAGAAAGTGCATTTGACTCAAAGTGACCAAAAACTTTCCAACAGCAACATGTGACCTTTGATAGGCTGCCTTGTGACATTGAGCTTCCCCACTGATGTGACTACAATCCCAAGACTCAGGAGCCACCTTACAGGAAATAAGGCAGAAAGACCAAAGGACAGTAGGTTGCATTAGATTAATGGTTCCTAGACTTTGGGACATCAAAGAGCAGTGAAATGTCAAAATACCAGAGGACCAACATGAACCCCATAGCTGTGGGTGTTGGCCTCACTCCCGGGGATACCAGTTCAGGAGCAGTTTGGGCCAGCCTATGGCAGCGTGAGGATGCACAGGTAAAAGTATGGAGGTTAGGCTGAGTATTCTGTGCTGTCCTGTGGCTGGGGTCATTGTCTGACACCTGATTCCCAGGATACATGGGCCAGCTTCCATGCAGACCTGGTCCTGCCCTGTGTCTTTAAGGTCTGACCCAGAAAGAGCCCTGTTCCCAGGAGGCCTGATGCAACCTCAGTGCATCACCCCTCAGTGGACTTGGGGTCCCCAAACCTCACTGCTGTCTGCCATGCGTCAAATTACCTAGCTCTCTGTTTTGTATCCGGGCAAGGCCACCTCTAAATCGGGCTTATCAGACTTTTTCCATAAAGGGGCAAATAGCAAATATTTTAGGCTTTGGATGCCATAGATCTCTTCTAAAACTACTTAATTCTGCCCTGGTAGTGCAAGTGGGAGTGGCCATGTTTCAATACAACTTTATTTGCAAAAGCAGGTGGTGGGCCAGATGTGTCTCAAGAGCTGTAGTTTGCCAACTTCTGCTGCAGCTCTGTCTGGTCTTTCTGCCGACCGGAGTCCACTTTGTTGATGATATTTGTCAATAATAGAGATGTGTGTGCCAAGTAAGGAAGTTGAAGGAAAACCAACAAATTCAGACTTTCATCATCATTTGATTAAAAGAAAAAATAATTCAACAATAATAATAAATAGAATGATTCAAATCTCAGAATAAAAGACAAAGTTTGTACCAATTTGAGGACCAGCATTTGGACTAGTGGGAATCACATGGTTTGAAACACTTCAAATTTTAGGGACTTTTAAATATTTCTTTATGTGAGCTGAAGTTAAGGTAGGTTTCTTCTCCACTATTTTTGGACAATAATTTTCTTAGGTAAGTTCAAATTTTTTATTTATCTTAGTTAAATTTCAGCTCCCTGTCCAGGGATTTCACAGTCTCAATTTTGCTGTGAATACCAGGATCAGGGCCCTGGGCTCATTCTTTCCCAGCTGATTACTCTAAGTCAAAAGTTCTCATGTGTGGTTTTGGTAGATATCACTCACAAAAACAAAATCTCTTTGGGGTCCTCAATAATTCTTAAAATGTAAAAGGGCGGGGGTGGGATGGGCAGAGAAAAGCAAAGGGGGAAAAATTGGGACAACTATAACAGAATAAAATTTTTTAAAATCTTTAAAAAATAAAATGGAGGAAATCAAAATCAGAGAGGAGGAAGCAAGTTAAAACTAAATCTATCAGTAAATATAGCTGAATCCAGCTGTATTGTGCAGAAAGTAAATTTTCTTACCAGTGACTAACCATAGAAATCCTTAATCACCAGTGAGCTTTAATGTTATGCACTGGAAATTTTATGATGAGTTTTTATTTAATATTTCCTTATCCTTATCTTTGTAGGGGGGAAATTCCATTAGGGTTATAGCCATAAAACTTAAAAATTCCTTTCTTTTGGTTTACAACTTGAAATCAAAAGACAACAAAAATAAATCTGCTTGGGGGGAAAAAAGGTCCCACAGCTAAAAACTTAGGAGAACTGCTGGCATAAGCCAATCAGGTACCCCCACCCTTCTGCCAGGGATGGGCAGTGGTGGGCAGATCCAAGTCACTTTGGGCCAATGTGGTGTTTGGACAGGCTTGTTCTGGGGTTAGGTAAAAAAAGCTTTCTTGCTCCTAGGAAGGAGCTGTAGAAAGTCACACTATTCCTCCTCCGGGACAAGCAGGCCGGGGGAAGTCTGTGGCAGCAGTCAACAGTGGCAGTCATTTTATTGTGGGAGAGCCACCAGCCTTGGGAAGAAGTGCCAGGATAGCAGGTGGAGAGGTGGAAAGGACCTGGTCCTTGGTAGCTTTGCAGGGTTGCCTCATGAAGGAGCCCTGATGCTGTTCTCTGCACCCTCGGGTCCACAAGCCAAATTTGCTTATTAAGCCAGTTGGAAATTTCTGTCATTTGCAGCTCAAAACATCCTTTTGAACCTCAATCCTACCACCCATCATAAGAATGTTTGCTCTTAATGTTATAGATTTTACAAATGTGACATCCATAAGTCCCTGTCTTCATTTGAATCAATGGTAGCAATGGTCAGAGCCTACCCATGATTCCTCCAAGATCATATGTACCCACTGGTCAATTCTTGTTGAGTCCCAGGATGAAACTAACCCACTCAGGCCAGACTTGAAGACCTCATTCTTGTGTTTTGTCCAATTGGATGGTAAGCCCTGGAAAGAAAGAAACCCCATCCTCCATATTGATCCCTCAATCAAACCCCTTCATATAGAGCAAGACTGATTGGCTATAGAGGAGTCTTAGAAAAAATTCAGGAGGGGGTGTGGTCTGCCTCCCAGCCACATTGTCTCTCCTTAATTCTGCTGCTCCCCACTTCATGACACCATCCCATCCTCCACGGGAGATGCAAGCTCGTCCATCATATTCCACTGGCAAGTTTAGCTCATGTGACAGCTGAGAGTGCATCTCCCAGGGGGCACACACTTTCATGAGAGAGTGACAGGAGTTAGAGGGGGAGCACTGGCTCTTTTTGGAGTTACACTTGCCTTGAATTCTGCCTCCACAACTTTCCTTTTCCCCCCTTGACTTTCTTTCCCAGTTTTATTGAGATATAATTGACACACATCACTGTCTGAGTTTAAGGTATACGGCACAATGACTTGACTTACATATATTGTGAAATAATACCACAGTAAGTTTAGTTAACATCCATCATTTTACATAGGTACAAAAAAGAGAGAGAAATGAGGATTTTCCTTGTGATGAGAACCCTTAAGATTTACTCTCTTAGCAACTTTCATATATAACATACAGCAGTGCTAACTATTGTCATCACATTGTACATTATATTCCTGGTACTTATTTATCCTGTAACTGAAATTTTGTACATTTTGACCACCTTCATCCAATTCTCCCTCCCCCCATCTCCATCTCTGGTAACCACTAATATGACCTCTTTTGCCATGAATTTGGTTTTAGGGTTTTTTAATTCTACATATGCGTTGGATCACACAGTATTTGTCTTTATCTGTCTTATTTTTTACTTAGCATAATGACCTCAAGGTCCACCCACGTTGTTGCACATGGCAAGTTTTTCTTCTTTTTGTGGCTGAGTAACATTCTGTTGTATATATGTGCCACAATTTCTTTATCCATTCATTTATAGATGAACACTTAGGTTGTTTCCATGTCTTGGATATTACTAACAGTGCTACAACAAACATAGGGAAGCAGATACCTCTTCCACATTTGCTTCTATTACTTACTAAGCATTTCTCTTAACCCCTTTCAGCCTCAGTTTCCTCATCTGCAAAATGAAGAAAATAATAGACTTACATTGAATGCTTTTGAGGATTGGATGTAATTGTGCATTAAACAGCCAGCACATGGATGTTTGGTCCAACAATGAATATTTGTTGGGCACCTTATAGGTGCCAGGCATTGTGCTGGGCAATGGGAGCCTGGAAATCACTTTTTTGACTTGTCACTGCTGTATCTCCATGCTTATACCCCTGCCTTGCCCATAGTAGATGCTCAGTAAATGTTTGTTCAGTGAATGGATGCCTTGGTGGAATTCATATTTTAATGAGAGAGATGGATACACATAGCATAAGCTGATGATTTCATATAACATGGGAGATAATAGCTGGAGCCCTTCCTAGGGGGACAGGAAGAAAGAGCTTTCTGGAATTGATGGGCTGGAGTGGAGTTTTGAAGGATGTGTGTGCATCAGTCAGAAAAAGAGAGGCGGGAAGGGTTCTTTGGAACTGATAGCCATTTCAGAGGCATCTGGAGAAGTTCATCCCATGGGTCACAGTGTCCTCTCTCAAACCAGGACTGCCCGGTGGCTAGGCTCTCTCCTTTGAGAGCAAACATTGATTGAGAACTGACTATGGCCAGGCACAGTTCTCAACACTTTTATGGATTCATTCATTTAGTTTTCTAGGCAAGCCTGAGAGGTCAGAACTATTATTAACCCCGTTTTGCTGATGAAGAATCTGAGGCACAGAGAAGTAAAGTTCTCCCCACCCCAATCAAGGTCACAGGTCAGGGTTGAGCTCCACCAGCCTGGTTCTGAGCACTTAGCCACCACATCACTTCTCTTTTGTTTTCATGACTAAATCACTGTCAGTCTCATGGCAGCATATGGCAGTCCACTCTGTGCCATGGCCTTCATGACCACCATCTCCAGGCTGATAGACCAGGGCAGTGAGGCAGGCCCACTGAACCCCAGGTGATGAGCAGAAGAAAAGTGGGTGGGAGGGGTAGCCCCCAGCTCGCCTGTCCTTGGCTCTGGTCTGGCTCTACTCTAGCCTCAGCCAGGCACTTCTCACCCTGCAGCTCCCCCACCCCGCCCCGTCTAGGGAAGAAGGGAGGTCATCAGGCTTACCCGCTTCTGGTTGGTCTCCTTGGATGAGTCGTTCATATTAACCCCACATGCCAGGTCGGGCCTGGGGAAGATTTCTGACCAGCCGCCCTGTGTGCAGTTTCGAAACATGGAACCTGTGGGTGCCAAGTGTGCTATGTGTGAGTGGCGGGGACCATGGACAGATGACTGGGTCTCCTGAGTGCCCTTGGCAATGCCTCAGTGGCAGCCTAGAGCTTCCTTCTGTCACTTTGTCCCAAGCTGCCTTTCTCTGAACCACATTGCCAGCTCCCAATTGGCCCAATAATTGATCCTTGAAGAATAAGTCAGTCAGTCAGGAAAAGCACTAGGAAAGGCAAATAGGTAGATGGGCCCAGGAGGGGCAAAGACCCGGGATATGTATGTGTGTGTGCATGTGTGTGTGAGGGAAAGACACAGAGACAGACCTGCTGATCCTTATACCTCAATCTACAAACAAAGTTGTCCCTGAACAAACACTCCCTCACAGCCTCCAGTCACTGCTTGTCTTCCTCCCACTGCCTCACCCACACCCCCATCTCACTGTGCCAGGCACCAGGGCTCCTTAGATGAGAGAGGCTTACTGACTCATAGCACAGCACTCAATCATCCCAACCAGAACCCAGGCCCCCAACAGCCAGGCCACAGCAGAACTTCCAGTGCCCTCTACCTTGCTGCTCCCTGGGGCCCAGGCCCACTCCAGGGCTCTCTTAGACCCCTGTGCAATCCCACCCCCACTATGCCCTTCCCTTCACAGGCCCCAAACTCAGCTCCAAGGTCCCTCAACGCTCAAGGAGAGACTTTCCCTCCTCACCCTCCACCCCCTCAGGCTGACATGCCACTGCCACTCTTTGAGCTCAGTGCCCTACACCTCCAGCACAGGCTGCGTCCTGTGCACTCACAAGGGATGGCATTGGCTTCCCTGACTTCCCAGGAGATGAGTTTCTGACAGCCCCCCAGCGCCTCCCCAGAGGCCTTGCCTACCAAACATTTCTAGAGAAGTGAATGAGTGGGGATAAAGAGTCTGCTCTAAGCTCTCTATGGAGAAGAGGAGAGAACTTGCTCACAGGGAGCTTGTGGAGCAGGATTCCAAAGGCTGGGGAAGGGGACCTGCCATCCAAGAAGGAAGTTTGGGGAGCCACCAGGAAGCATTTTCCTCATAGGAATGACTGACTCAGCTGCTCTGCTACTCTGGGCTGCCAAGCAGAGCTGAGTTCTGGTTCTGGGTCTGGCTGCTCTTGGTGTTGCAGGGGTTCAGGGAGCTGATCACAGCCCTGCCACTGCTTTTGTTTTACTCTGCACCCTCTCTAGGGACCTCTTAACCACACAAGCTGGGCTGGCATGCTGCTCTTAACAAGCCCCAGGGTCTGGGTCATTGGCTCACAGGGTTTAGAGTCAAGAAGTTTCCACTGAGATGGAGAAATATGGCTGGCATTTCTAGAATCAGCCATATGCTAACATGCAGATTCTGATCTAATCTTCATAGGGCCCCAGTGAGGGAGGTTCTGTTGGCCTCCTTTACAGATGAGAAGACCAAGGCTCAGAATTGAGCAACAATGCCAGCTAGGACAGGTCCCATCGCTTTACTGCCTTGCCACCTGGCTCTTTCCCTATGGACCCATGGGCAGCTTCTAGCAACATCCCTATGGACCATGGCTTTTGGACACCAGGTCTGCCCAGCCTATGAAGGCTCACAAGGCATGGAGTACAATTTTAGCACCAGAGAGATCTCAGTTGGAAACCCAGCATTGCCTCTTGGTGGCCACGTGACCCTTAGGTGCATCACTTTTCTGTGCCCAGTGGGTGGTCACTCGCATTGCAGAACCGAGCAGGAAACATGATAGTGCACAGAAATTGCCCAGGCTGATGCCACACACAGAATGGGCACCACAGTGTTAGTCCCTCCTATTTGGGGTCTTTTTAAAATAGACTGGGAGTGGTGGGGCTTGAAGTGCTGGAATTTAGAAAATGGTTAGAAGTTAGGTCAAGGGAGCTACGTTGTCAGACAGGAAAAAATGGTGGTGACATTTAGGCTGATTAGGTGGGAAGATGAGTTACAAGAGTACAAACTCTGTGAAGCCCAGAACCAGTTGTCAGACATGCGTGACCACAGCCGGTGGGCTGCCTGTTAGGGGCCCTCTTCTCACCCACCCAGTAGGATCCCCAAGACAGATGCTGCATATGATCCTGGCCAGGTGCCCAGAGCAGCTCACAAGGCAGTGCACAAAGTGGAGGTGCACTGCAGAGGAGAGCTGCAGAGGAGACAAAGTTTGGGCTCTCTCAGGAATCCCTTCAACCCCACCCACTTCCCCTGCATTTAATGCCTAATAGGTAACCATCCTTACTCAGGTTCAGGCCAATATACACCTCAAGGACCCCTGAAAGTACAGTCAGTATTTTTGTGCACATGTATATGTGTAGTCTAAATCTCTCATCTAATTCTCAAAAGGCTCCAGGACCTTAATCAGGTCAGAAACTTCTACTGTTTTAAGGCTCCAGTTTCCCCTGAGATAGAAGAGAAAGAGGGCCAAGGCCTGACCCTCCCTGAGAAGTGTGATTTTTTAATAAGAAACTCAGGAAGACTAGTGTCCTTTTAGCAATCAAAAGAATGCATCTTAGAGAGAACTTTCTAGACTCTGGCACACCCAGAGAAATATCTGAGGTGGAATCCGGTCTGTAATTTCTCATGTCACACGGACACACCTGTCCTACCAGGGCCCATGAGGTAGAATTAAATTATTAGTAGTTTCAAATTCAAGGAGTTCATCATCACCAAGCTCTTATTATATGAAATGTTAAAGGGACTTACCTAAGAAAAAGAAGATAAAAAAGATAAACAGTGAAAGGACAGCAAACTCACAGTTATTAAGAACCACACCTAAAACAAAAGCAAACTAAAAGGACAGCTAGATCAGGAGTGGAAACATAGAAATGAAGATCACATGGAGTGTTAGCAACAGGGGAGTGGGAGAAGGAGAAGGGGGGAGAAGGTACAGAAAATAAGTAGCATAGATGGTAGGTAGAAAATAGACGGGGGGGGGGCAAGAATAGTAGAGGAAATATAGAATCCAAAGAATCTGAGACACGTGGTCATAAACTAAAGGGGGAATGGTGGGGGAGGGGTGTGCAGGGTGGAGGGGAATGAAGGGGGGAAATGGGACAACTGTAATGGCATAATCAATAAAATATATTTTAAAAATTATTAGTAGTTTCTTCTTAATAAAAGAAGGCTCCAGAACACTAGGTGCTCCTCCCAAGGTTGAGGTGGGGAGGCTTCTCTCCTGAGAGGACACAGAGGGGCTGGGATCTAACCAGATCCCAGGCGGACCTGTGGGGAAAGAAGGCAGTGGTGGGAGGATGGCTCTTGATGGGAGGCTTGGCTGGTCCTGACCTGTGCTCCCAGACTGGCCTGTGCCTCAAGCCTGGGGCTGGATTTGAGCAGACTAGTCTCCCCAAGGTGAGGTGACCCCCACCCCTACCCCCTGGAGTGGCCTGTGGCTAGCACTCAGCAGTCAGAGAGCTTCAATGTGGCCAGGCAGGAGGGCCCTGTAGGAGGGCCTTGTAGCCCCACAGCGACACCAGGTGGTAGTGAGGAGAAACTGCAGCAGAGGTTGGCATAGGACCCACAGCTTCCTTCCCTGCAGAACGCAGACCCGGAACTGCACCCTCGGGTGGCCCCCAGCAGGTCTTGAGCAATTAAAGGATTGAGGCACCTCAAGAAGGAGACAGCTGTATTCCAGTTAATGAGGCAGGCAGGGGTCTGTCTGGCCTCTTTACAGAAGGGCAGGGGGGAAATGGTAGTGCGGGGGGGGGGGGGAGACAGAGGCACAGTGGCTCCATAGAAGGCTGTGAAGGGAGTGCTTGGGAAAGAGGAGAGCTAACAGTCCTTTGTACAGAAGCAGTTAGCCAGCCAGGGAGGAACACTGGCTGGGGAGTCTGAGACCAGGGTCTGGTCCTGCCCTTGCACTTGACCAGCAAGTTACTTAAGGTCAATCGTGTCTGAATTAATTTCCTGTATCCCAAGCTCCACGGACCCCAGGGATAGACATCAAAGAATCATGCCAGGAGATAAAGACTGTAGATAAGTTTGCTGTTGTGTGTGTACATGTGGGGGGAGGGGTGGTACTTAGGGGTAAAGGAAAGAACAAGAAGTGGTATGAGAGGGAGAGAAGAGACAGAGGAAAATATTTTAAATTTATTTCCAAGCCCAGCCTCATAAGACTGGTGTTATTTATTATCCCATTTTACAGGTGAGAAAATTGAAGCCTAGAGACAATTTGAGGAATTTGGGCCGAGAGGTAGAGACTGGCTTCCAGCAGGACCCCATTTCCACACGTCCCTTGCAGCTAGGAGTTGCCATAGGACTGAGTTCTGGCAGAAGTGGTATCACTTTCAGGCCTGGTCCTTCGAATCTCCCGTGGCTGATCCTCTGGGTCCTTTACCTTCACTAGTCTGAAAGCTGCGTGCCAACACCACAGCAGGAAGGTACCGGATGCCAAAATCACCATAGAGAGAAGAGTTTCTTGCTCATCAGAAGCACCTGTTTTGGACTCTCAGCAGACAGGCACTGGAGATAGGCTTCAAGATTTGTGGATTTGTCTGTTTTGGCCACTAGCACTACCCAGGCAGTAAGTGAAGGGGTGAGATTCAAACCAGACTCCCTGGCCCCCTCCAATTTTTGTATTGTGGGGCATCAGGTGAGGCTGAGAGGAAAAGTGAGCCACAGCAGCATGTTCCCAAAAATCAATGTGTGTGCACACATGCACACATGTGTATTACAGAATAACGGTGTGAAGAATTTACACTCTGTGCTGTAGTCTTGGTCTAAGCAGGTCATTGTTTCCTGACTTCAGAAAGTGATAGGTTTTAGTGTTAAATTGTCATTTTTTGGTTCATTCTTGGTAAGGGCCTCATTGGGCAGCTTTTCCTGCCCCACATGGAAGAGGGGAGAGAGGCAGCAGGGCCAGGCCAGGCTTTAGACTTTAAATGAGTCCACTAAGTGAAGGATCTAAAGGCCATGAAGCTATCAGTCTCTACCCAGGGACACCCCTACCATGGGGCCATAGGCCCATCTTGACCATGGCCTCAAGCACAGCATCAATTTTGAAATCAGAGAAATCTGGGTTTGAGTCCTAGTTTCTCCATCCCCTAGCCGTGAACCTTAGGCAAACAGCTAACCCCCTTTTAGTCCCTGTCATTATTACTCTTTACTAAGTCAAATGTGGGGAGAAAAGGTCTGTGATTTGCAGGGGTTTTGTGATTACTAAATGCCTGGAACATAGTGGACCTTTAGCCAGCGGTCGTCCTTAAGCATCCCCTGAGACAGCCTCCTCACTTCCCTGCATGGAATTAAGAAAGACATTGTAAACTGTAGCTTTTCTCAGGCAAGAGATCTCCCAGGAAGCCAGGGGCTTCCAGGGACAGCACAATTTATCAGCAGGGCCTAGCAGAATAGGCACAGGAAGTAAGTGTTCTGGAAGGCCAGGCTGTGCCAGGGTGGGACCTAGACATAGTGGCTGGAGCAAGGGCCCTGGTTGCTAAGGGGACAGAAACATAAAAGAAAGGAGGGGAGCCCCTAATTGGGTGCATGGAGCAGAGAGAAGCAAGCCTAACCTCCTGTATGATTTCCCCAACAGAATGCCTCCTGTCCTCTTGCTTGGGACCCTAAGGATTAAGCCCACCCCACACACCCTAAGCAAGGTTTCCAATCCCTAACAAGGACCCCACCCCCATCATTCCATTCATTACTTGTCCCCAGGGAAGATTTCTTGGCCTCATGGGTCCATGCTGAGGCCCCACTCAGAGGTTATCCCATAGATTCTCAGCTGGGCCCTTTGGGCTATATGGTTACCGCTTCTGCTGGTGAGCATCCGGAAGAATCGAGGACACTCCACTTCCACAGTCTGCCCCAGCTCAGAGGAGGGCCAGCAGCTCACGTTGTCCCACAGCCCCTCGCAGCCTGCCAAGAAGAGCAACAACATCAGACAGGGATGGAGCGTGGACCAAGGGCCACCCCTCACTGCCCTGTCATCATTCCCAACACCCTAACCTGCCAGGAGCTCCCACTAGGTACTGCCTTTTAGAGTATCTTTTAAACTTTGGGGCCTTGGACTCTGCCCTGTACATAGTAAGTGCTCAATGTTGAGGGAGGGATGGAGGGAGGGAGAAAGGGAGGAGGACACATTATCTCATATAAGCCTTACAAGCGCAGACCTGGATTTCTCTAGAATGAAAACATCTCTTGCCCTCAGCCTGCATTAAATGACAGTGACAGTGACAGTGGGCCTCATCCTGTCTACACAGTAGAAACATATGGGGAGCTTTAAAAACATACATTACCCTACACCCAGTGATCCTGATTTAATTGGGCTTGGGTGGGTCTCAGGCATGATATTGTGTTAAAGCTTTCCAGGTAGTTCTAAACTGGTTGCAAGGTTGAGAATCCTTGCCCCGTGGTTCTCAAACTTCAGCTTGCATCAGAATCATCTACAAGGCTTGCTGATAGACAGACAGCAGAGTCCAACCCCCAGGAGTCTTGGTGGAACCTGGACATTTACATTTCTCACAGGTTCCCAGATGAGGCTGATGCTACAGGTCTAGGACCACTGACAGCCCCAGTCTTGGCCTTCAGAAGCAGCTACATAAGTGTGACCACTACATTCTGGTAGAAATATTGTTGAGGACACTACTTTCCAGCTCACCGAGTTCCCTTCACAAGACCTGTCCTGGAAGAACAACCTGGTCTCCATGCAATGAGAAGCTGAATTTTTGGTGAACAAGTACCACTTATCTGTCCTTACAGACCAGTGTCTAGAGGCTGTTCCCTCTTTGACTTGGCTGCCAGAAAGCTCAGAGCCATATTTGTTGTTCTTCTGGTAACTGACTGGCTTTGAAATGAATCAAAAAAAATCACTTGTGTCTTCAGTGCAAAACAAGGCACTGCCTAAGCCTGGCTTCTGGGTTATCTGGGTGTCCAGACTTTTATGGTATTGGGGACTTGTATCGTCCTTGAGCTACTATGCAACTCTGTAAGTTGTAGATAACTGATAGCAGTGCAATGATTTTTGTCCACAGGCATGCAAATGAATTTTTCATTTTTTTTCAAATGAAGTTTTGCATTTATTTTTAAATTCATTTTACCATTCAGCCTTATGTGTCAGGTACTTTGAATTCTCCCATGAACCAGTGGTAATATCTTACTGGTTCTCTCGTTAATTAATATAATGTTTGGCAGGTATTCACCTGATATATGAATGCAAGTTACGATTATGCTCTCTTTAAAAAATTATCATTTAACATAACCAGGCACTGATTCTCCCCAAGTTGACTCAGGGGAAAAAACTCAGGGAAACTGCTGTTTGTGACAGGCTTCAGGGGATTCATGCCACCTGAGAAAACATCACTGCGGAAGATTTAGAGGAAACCACAAGTAGAGCTGAGGTGATGCTTCTGATGTGAGAAGAGTCAGCCCTCCTCTGGTTTGAGGGAACAGAGCACAGACCTCCCCACCCCAGAGCCCAGGACCTTCAGAAGGAGCCTGGACTCTGGAGTCCCAAAGACCTGAGCTGCAGTCCTGCCTTACCCCCTGGCAGCTCCCCTCACCCAGTTCCTCTTCTCCTCTGGGGGAAACAAATGCCTTCCTTCTGAAGTTGTCAGGAGGACGAGGTCAACCCCCACCCAGTGGGTGCAGTTGAAAGGAAGCTCCCACCCATCTGTCCTCCAAGGCTCCTTCCTGGTTCATCCTGGCATCAGGAGGCTGGGCCACACTGGGGCCTCTGGACTGCAGGGCAGATTTTAGCTCCAGGGGTAGGAGATGGTGTGGTCTGTACCCACAGGGCAAATTCCCAACTTTGTAAAGAGTAAGAGTCTCTTTTGAGCTGTGAGTACAACCAAGCTCAAAGTATCAATACCCTTCTGACAGCTGTGTGCCCTCTAAAAGAAGTTCCCTGGTGACCTGTCACACTTAGAGGGCTGATCCTCCCGTGTGCATCAGAGATCACCGGGAGCATGCTAAGGGTGCAGATCCCTAGACCCCACCCCAGGAGATTCTAATTCAGTCATTCTGAGATGCAGGAATCTGTTTTGTAAGAACTCCCTAGAGATGCTGCTGTTTGTGGTCATCAGGCCTTGCTCTGAGAATCTCCCTGCTGCTCCTCCCTCCTCCCCACAGTATGGGACCCTATTTCTGGGCTCAGATTGACCCTTGGCTCCCAGGAGCAAATCTGACACAGTGAGACAGGCAGGGGGCCAGGGAGGTCACTGCTGGTAGGCAGCTCCCCCTGGTTCAGGATGCAGACAGCTCCCCACCTCGGGCAGAGAGCCCATGAGAGCAGGAACCTGCACCTGCAACAGGCCAAGCATAGCATAGTCACTCAGCAAACAGGGGAGCCACACTTGACTTCTAAATTCCATGTTAAGGTCCTGGCCTTCCAGTCCCCTGCCTGTTACCTCTGGTTGGGTGCTAGCAGGGGTCCATCTGTGCTTTACACATTGGAGCTCATTTAATCCACAGCAGGGCAGCCAGTGGGTGCCTGGACTCACAAAGCCAGGAGGCGGAGGCCAGGACTGTGTAGCTACATTGCTTGGTGCTACCTCACAGGCTCTGCCCACTCGTCCTGTCTCCAGGTGGCACCAACCCCCTGGAACCAGGCTAAGGATGCTGGGGAGAGGCCAGGAGGTGGACAGGAAACAGGGTGTGGAGCTGGGGAGGATGCAGGGAGGGGACTGGAGAGTTGGGAAGGTGAAGGCAGGTGTAACCTGGCTGCAGGACCAGCCCACAGAGGAAGGAGGAGGGAGGAAGTGAGGGAGAATGGGGGGAGGCCAGGCCTGAGGTCAGGATATAACGCTGGGGGGTCTGGAGGTCAGGCAGCCCTGGAGATGACAGGATGGGCTGTGGCCCTGGCGAGGGAGATGGCGGAAAATGGAGAGGAGAGTAATGGACACAGAGGGCATGGTTTGGATGTAGCTCCCACAGGACTGTCAAAGCATCTGTGGAACAAAAGGACCATGTGTCTGTGTCTTTTGAGGAATGTGGGAGATATTCGACCAGGCCTGAACAGGGCGTCCTGGAGCTTACAGGCCCCTGGGTGACTCTGGCCTCCCCAGATGCCCTTGAGATGCTGACATGGTCCTGGGAGGTCCCTTTTCAGATGACCCACTGTATCCTTCCACTCAGCACTATTCCAGCATCTGAGGCCTGGAGGATGAGGCTGGCCCCTCATCTGCTCCCTTTCTGCAGAGATGTCTGTGTGGTGGCAGGTGCCTGGTTCAGACCGCAGCCTCCCTGCCAGCTCAGCCACATCTCTTGTATTGGAAGGAGTGGGGGCCCCTCCTGACTATAAAAAAATGCAGGATCCTCTTTTCTCACTTTGAGAGAAATGGATTCAGGGCTGAGCTGACCAGGTCAGTCAGGACACTGGCTCACGGCTCCAGTCCACGAGGCTAGACAACTCACGTCTGGCTGGCCAGACAGATGGGGAGGGTGCCAGGGTATCTGGCAGGCTACCTGACCTGGGTCACGTCAGGCTGGTCCCACAGGGACACTGGCCCGGTACTGGCAAAAGGCAGGGTAGAAATGGCTGGTGGTGAGGTATGAAGAAAGGGGAGCAGGCTCCCCCGTGGGGTCCCCCTGCCAGCTGGCTCACTGCCCCTTGATATCAGGCAGGTAGAGAGAAAAGGCTGGGGAAGGGGCTGGCTAGGCCTGGTCTGGACAAGCATCAGACCTTGTGGAGCCCGTAGGGGTCAGGCAGCACCACTGCCCCACAGCAGAGATGAGGAAAGCCAGGCTCCGAGAGGTGAAGTGACATGCGTGGGCTGACAGACTTACAATGGTGGAGCTGAGGCCCCACCTGCTGGGCTGACCCTTGGTGGCAGCCAACCTGGATCCTAACTCCACACACATTGTTCGTGTCCTGAGTATGTGACGAGGCCACACTTTCCCCAAGCTTCAGGTTTACTGTCTGGTCATAGCAGGCGTTGGAACAGACCCAGGGTGCCCAGCGTGCAAGAAGCACATCCCAGGTGGTGTGCACTTTTAGCAGGTACACGGCAGAACACTTTTAATTTTAACAGTTACACACTCTTATGAGCATCTTTTAAAACCTCAACTGAGGATATTTTACTGATTTTAGAGAGAGAGGAAGAGGGAGAGAGAGACAAAGAAACATGGATCATTTGCCTCCCGTACTCACTCCAATGGGGGATCAAAGCAGCGACCTGGGTATGTGCCCTGACTAGATATCAAACCCACAACCTTTTGGTGTACAAGATGCTTCAACCAACTGAGCCATCTGGCCAGGTTTTAATAGTTACACATTTTTTAAACAGAATTTTTAATATGCATTAAAAAGTTATAGAACTAGCATATCACATTGTGATTTTATAGCTACTACTGTTGAGGATGAAGTTAAGTTAGAAAAAAAGTCAGTTGGGTAAAAGGGAACCCTCGTGTATGGTTGGTGGGACTGTAAGCTAGTGAGGCCACTATGGAAAACCACATGGAGGTTCCTCAAAAAAATAAAGTAGAACTGTCATATGATCCAGCTACTCTACTTCTGAGTATTTATCCAAGGGAAGTGAAATAAGTACACATATCTCAGAGAGATATCTGTACCCCTACATTCATTGCAGCATCATGCATAATGTCCAAGATATGAAAATAACCTAAATGCCCATCGAAAGATGAATGGATAAAGACAATTACAATAAAATATTAGTCAGCTGTAAAAATGAAGGAAATCTGGCCATGTGTGATAACATGGATGAATATGGAAGATATTGCAAGTATGCTAAATGAAACAGGCCAGATACAGAAAGACAAATACTATGTGATCTCACTCATCTGTAGAATCCAAAAGAAGTCAAACTCACAGAAGCAGAGAGTAGAATGGTGGGAGAAATGGGGAGAGGTTAGTTAAAGGACATAAAGTTTCAGTTATACAGACAGATTAGTCTGAGATC